TTTCAAAGTTTGAAGAACTGCATTATTTTACTGGTATTATTTTACTAGTATTTTTGTGTCTGCTGGGGAATTAGATCCTTGTGAATATATCTGAAAGGAGAACTATAGCACTCTCTGGGGTTAATTAGATGTGATAGATACCTTTGCAGTGATTCAAAGAAGAGACATCATGTCTCCTTTTTTCTTGATCAGCACTTTTCAAAGCCGCTTGTACTTTTAGCAGGAAGGTGAACTTGGTATAAGTTTCATAAAGCTGCAGGTTTGGGTTTGGGTTTGTTTTTTTTTATTTCCTTTAGGAGTCAGAGAATATAGATCGTGCCAAAACTGCTTTAGTAAAGGGGCATCATTTCCAAACAGCATAACAATAATGAAAGTGGCCTACGATACATTATGTCTATGTTATTTTGTATCGCCAAGCCAGAAAATGAGACATTTAGACCAGTTTCAGTGTGTTTTCATAGAACATAATGCTTAAACAAGCGTAATGCTCAAGCCCTGTAGACGAGGCCAAATGTAAAGAACTTTGAGGAGTGAAGAGGCTAAATATGCCTCAGAAAGTCTTAGAGTTTACAGTTGTAACATATATGTTGAATGAACTGGAAGAAGGTGTAATGTGCATCAGCTTAGACTTCATTTAATCTCATTTGGAGTCTCCACTGAATTTGGTTTTGTCTCAATAAAGTACTGTCTTTGCTATGAAAGAATCAAAACAAGTCCATGAATGAAAGAAACCTTGACCCTACTGAAGTTAAAGACAAAACTCTCATTGAGAGCCAGAATTTCATCTCACATGCTTAGAATTTTTCAGAGGCATTCAAGAATATTGCAAAGGCCGTCTAATATTTCCATGTAAAAAGACCCCCAAACCGATGTATGTTCTTCAGCTCAGAGACCTTCCCGTAAGGAATCTGACCATCTTCAATCTGACCAACCTTTTACAGGTTTCCGCTTACCTTCCCTGAGGCAGCTCTCTGAAATCAAATGTTCTCTGTGCGTGATAACTATTTCCAGGATTTTGTGTATGAAGCTGAAAGCTCTGCTCTGGAAGCCAGCCGCGCTTTGACTGTTTCATGACTTTCAGTTTTGTACTGGAAATAAGGGCTACACATCTGGACACGATGCTGAACGGTAGTTTGAAAAAACCTGTGTAGGACTTAGGGTTTAGGGTGCTGTGGGGCTTTTTCCTGTGTCTGTTCAGAAGCAGAGCAGCTAAATTGAAGTTGACAGAAGGCTCAGAGTTGGTTGCATATGGGTTTATTTGCCTGATTCTGTGAACTTAGCTTGTGAATGACACAGTAAGCCCAGTGGTGAACACTTCAGAAGGCAGCGGGAAGCTGCATTCCGCTGTGCTGTGTATAGACAAGCAATTATCCGTGACTGCTAGGGGAACCTGCTTAACAAATCGAGCTACAGAAAATGGGAACTACCTGATGGAGCAAACAGAATGAAAGAAAAGAGCCTCTGAATTTCACTTCTGAGGCTGCTGTGCTCAAGTGATTGAGTTTTTTATATACTACTTACTACACTATCGCTTAACATCCATCATCCACCTACACACACGCACATTCACCTTCATGCCGGGGCTGTGGGAGCTAGTTTTTCCTACAGTGTTGGAGAACTGGAGCATTCTTGTTGCTTTGTTGAGTTAACACTAGTTATGGCATATCTGAGATAGTGAGAGACTTTCCTGTGCAGGCACAGCAAGGACCCCAAATTCAGAGCATGCACAGCCCCTACTTCCCTGTACACCTGCGAGCAGGCTGCCCGTGGTGCCTAGGGGGGCAGGTACATGCAGGCTGGCAGCTCTGCTCTCCTCTGTGCATACACACATTCCACAGATGTTGGCATGGCTTTCATAAATGGTGGGTGATTTCACAGCTGCATGTGAAGCACTTAAGCCTCGTTATGAGAGCGGGTTCCTCAGGGACCATCTAATGAGAATCTGAGTAGATGTACCATTCCCTCCTGCTGTGGTTGCAGGGAATGAGACTGCCATCCTAGGAAGTGTAAAGGAGAGTCATTTGTCAGTGCTAATAGGGGTCATTAGGAAGAGAGAGACTGCACAGGAACCCCAGGAAGTAAAAGCCATCTGTAAAGCGACACGTGCAGGATGATACCACGCTAACTGTCTGCTCGGTAGCGTATGCGCTATACAACATTACTAGTTCCCTCTAAACCAATTATCTGTGTGCCAGATACAAGATTAACCAGCGTACGTTTATGGATATGAGCATACTCAGTCATGTCTACGTGAGATAAAGAAGGAGATGTAAGAAGCCTTTCTTCCTTGTGTTTGTAGTGTTGGTGATAGAGGATCTGTAAACTGAATATGCCCACATTTTGACAACGAATTCACAACAGGTAAAATGTACTTGTGACTCCTCTGTTGTGACAAGACAGCAGGTCAATAAATCCCTTTGGATTCTTCTTTTCCATTGAATTGCTGGTGGAAGCAGAAAGGCAGAATGACACGTCTCTATGAAAGTTACAAATTTTAGAATTAACTATATCTTGAGGCCATCTCAATATTGATTTTTTTCCTATAAAACAATTTTTTTCTGAAAAATAACTCATAATTTCTCAGTAGAAACAAAATATGAGTAAAATCAACTTAACCAAATTATCCGTTTCACCATTACAGCATCTCAAATGCCGGACAAATGGAACACAATATTGAAATTACTGACTAAAGGACCATAGATTGAGATATGACAGTACTGTTGTAACTAACAATTCCTACTGCTTTTCAGAGTTACTAAACCTAGCACTTGCTGTTATGTGGCCAGAAGCTCAGCATCGCTGCACCGAAAACAGAAAACCACCATCAACTCATGTGATTGAAAAAGCATCATGTCATTTAGGGCTGAAATATTCAAGTAGTAAATAGAGAATTTTGCACATGTGTTCTTCTGGACAAATTTTGTACAGCTAAGCCCCTTGAACTCTGTAAGAAACTTCTAAAACACGTGCATGCAGATGGATTAACTTGTATACTGGCAGAGGCCTCTGGGGCACATCTCTCTCAGCAAGGTTTGTAAAGAACTTATTTTTTTTTCTCCCTTTTGGTGCCTTTTATGATTGGCAAGTGACCATTCAAGTGTAATAGGAACTTTTGTGTAAAGTAGAAAGAAAGCTTCTTTTTTCCTTCCCCTTTACTCACTGCCCCAGCTCCAAATATATCAATAAGTATGCTGACTCCAAGGTTTTGGGTCCTCTGATGGGACATAGGAAATCTGTAACTGAAAAGAGGCCCGCAGTCTCTTTTTTGTTGTGTTTTATAGCCCTCCTGTACTTGTCCCCCCTCTTATGTCTTTTTTAATCAACTCTTCTAGGTTTTTTAAGCGCTTGTGCATACCTGAAGGAAGGTGTGAATGGAAGGGTTGTGATTATCCCCTACTTTTCACTGTGGTCACCCATACCCAAGTAAATTAAGCACCTACGTGGACGGTTTTGTTGATGCGAGTTGGCATGAATGGCACAAAGTAAAAGGCAGCAACATTCTTTTACGGTATACATACAGTCATGTGTTTGGGTATCTGGCTGTTAAGTCTTGATATATGAGGATCAGCCAGCATGTTCTGCAACGGCCCTCTCACCCTGACAGACACAGGGGCTTGCAGGGTCGTTGGATTGCTGTGGTGCATTGTTAGGAGGCAAAGAATAGTCACAGAATCACAGAATTGTTGGAGTTGGAAGGGACCTCTAGACATCACCTAGTTCAAGCCCTTCGCTAAAGCAGGATCTCCTAGGGCGCATTACACAGGATTACATCTGGAGATGGAGACTGCACAGCGTCCCTGGGCAGCCTGTTCCAGTGCTCTGTCACCCTCACAGTAAAGTTTTCCCTGATATTTAAGTGAAACTTCCTTTGTTCCAGCGAGTGCCTGTTGCCCCTTGTTCTGTCATTGGGCACTACCGAAAAGAACCCGGCTCCATCATCCCTGCACCCATCCTTTAGATATTTATAGACACTGATAAGGTCTTCTCTCAGCCTTCTCTTCTCCAGGCTAAGTAGTCCTGGCTCTCTCAACCCTTCCTCATAAGAGAGATGCTCCAGTTTCCCAGTCAGCTTCATGGCCCTCTGCTGGACTCTCTCCATTAGTTCCCTGTCTCTCTTGAACGGGGGACCCCAAAACTGGACACGGTATTCCAGGTGTGGCCTCACCAGGGCAGAATAGAGGGGAAGGATGACGTTGGTTTTGGTAAGAGGAATACTTCAAGTGGAACAAACAAGGTTTGCAAACGTGAACTTGAGTTTTTAGACCGTAGATTCAGATTTGCTAGATCAGCAGTCATGAAGCCTTGTCACCAGAGCCAAATTTGGCGTTGACCAAGATTTTGGGTGGCACAGCCACCAGATGGGCTGCATTGCTTTGCAAATTGTTTTGCCGTATCAAAAACTTCTTACCAGAGACCTAAACCAATGAAAGAGGGTGTAAAGAACAGTTAGGCTTTTTGATATGGGCTAAGTGACCTAACAGCTATTTTCCATCTCTAGCTTCTGTATGCTTTTGGTTTAGGGAACTGTAGTAACTGCCAGCATCTGCTTCTACCTGCTTGGGAGTTCGTTTCATTTTCGGTTTGCATACCAACTACTGTGCTCTGTGTCTGCAATTTTTAACTCCAGATACCAATCTCTGTACTAAGTCATTGCCAAGTAACCTTCCATTCTTCTTTTCCACGCTGCCGATCCAATCACCAGCTGCAAGCACACAGCTCCTGCCTGCATGCCGTCAGAATGAGTCTGAGCTGCTCAAACCTCAACTCCAGCCTGAACGTGAATTTTTATCTCTGCAGGAATCAGGAAAACCAAAAAAAAAAAAAAAGTCACCAGGCCTACCAGTTCTCGTTATTGTTTGTATTTATATTTTTTGTTCAACTTTATTTTCTACCTGAAGGTTTCGATTCCACCAGTTTTGTTTGGGTTTGGTTGGGCTTGCTTTTCTTTTTTTTATTGCTCTCCCTCTTCTCATTTTGTTTTCTCCATTCTTTCATTGGAGGCAATGAGCCGTCCAGCGGTCGGAACTCCCCTGTCCCTTACCGGCCCGACAGCCGCCCTCTCACTCCAACTTACGCTCAGGCCCCTAAACATTTCCATGTTCCAGGTAGGAGCTGGCACTGTATGTCTCTCGGTGTCCTGTCACAGTGTAGAATGTAGCCTTTGTAACTTTTGTCTTGTCTCCATCGTTTCACACTGTTTAACATGGGGGGCACCCTCGGGATTTGGAACTGCTCCTGGGCTTGCTGAGAAGACTAGCGCGTGAAGAAATGGGGAGATTCACTGTGGGTTTTATCTATTCTGTTGGTCAGATCTTCCAGAATGCCTTGGTTTTCAGAGTGTGTTGATGGCCCGTGAGCTGGATATGAGCTACGTAGGGCTTGATTTTTCTCCTAGTTGCACCAGCATAACTGTGCTAACTTCGGAGCAGCTGGTTTTGATTCATGTGCAGTGAGCTGTTACAGTTGTTCATTCAGATTGCAGTGACTTGTTTCCGTCTTGTATAGTTCTAGCGTACAGTGTTTGCAGTTCTAGTCTAGTATTCCCTTGGCATGAAGACGTTTCTTTGCTTGGTTTGTGCAACGGCTTGGTGTCCTTAGAGAGACCTGCAGTCCACAGTCTCTGTTTTGACATGAGCTGCACAGTTCTCCCAGCCTCTGAGAAGATTGCCTGTCTTGGATTTTGATGGGATGAGGATGTGTGTCCCTAGGGTCGTGGACATGCATGCATTGACTCCGTCAGTGCTAGCTAAACGAGTTATTCCTCAGCTCGCCTTCAGTGTAGCCTCTCCTTGCACTGCCAGAGATTTCTGCTCCTCCTCTGTTCCTCAGAGCTGGCAGATAAACTGTTTGTGGGGACTTCCCTTTCAGTCAGCGTGACCTGGCTTGGCTGAGCTACGCTGTTTTAACTGCTTAAGCTAACTCGGCTCACTGTGACTTGCGTAAGCTGAAGCGCGCCCGCATGAGTAGCTCTGAGAGATATTCTCTAGCACGGCGGAAGAGCTGCCCTCTTCAGCTGGCACGGTGCAGCCGCAGAAGGAGCTGTGCTCCTGTCCTACAGCTTTCTGGTTTGGTTCTGCGCAAAAATACTGCATGACTACCTTGTGATGTTTATACTCACTTGCTGGTCAAGTAGCCCTAACAGATCACTAACAAGAATGAAATACCTCGGTGTCTTTGGGTGCAGTGAGTTTGCCTCTTTAGTCAAGGATGTTGGCTTCTGCAGAGTAAGATTTGCCTCTGTTGAATAGATTTTTAGGGTTAGCTTTCCTTAATGCCAAAGGCTAAGTTATCTCCTGCGGTGCTTTAATTGGATCTGTGACGCATAACATGTATTTCTGAAATGCTTTTTCATCTTTCATTCTAATGTAGCTGAAAACTCTTTTCAGGCAGCACGAAGTAGCAAAATGGGTTTCTGGTGTTAATTTTCTAGTTCCCAGTAGCTCATTTTGGTCTTCTAAGAAGTTTTGTTACAGATTTTTGCACTGCAACACTGATTTTGGGTTATTTTTTGTGTTTGTAGCTGTGCTGAATATATGAAGTGGTGGTAAGGTAGTTTAGAACAAACTCGTTCCTGCCTTAGATTATTATTTGTGAAAATATGCTATCTTTTAGACATGTTGTAGATTTACTGCATGAGAGTTCTGAGAAGTGGTTTTATTCTGATTTACATTGGTAATGTGCAAGTGGTGGGCCTTACATTAAAAAAATACAAAAAGAAATAAAATTTGTCCTTGTGGTTTGAGAATTAGTGGTACTTAATACTGCATAAAACATCCCTTTGACCCACTGAAGTGTAGCTGCTGTTGACTGTTCAACACAGTGCTTAAAGTTCTCTGTATTTTGAAGTGAATTGTAGGCTCACTGGACTCTCCTCTGCTCAATCCAGCCAGTCAGTTGGGAAGAAAATTGAGCTGCTAGGACTGAAGCACAATTTTCCTCAAAAGTTATTTGGGATAATTTTCTCCAAATGGCTTGTGTCTTCACCATTGATACGTCTTTCTTGTTTGCATTTCTTCTCTAACTTTTATTCCACTGATAATCTTCTGAATGTTTAATGTTAATGGTTCATGACTTGGATGCATCCACATGTTAAAGAATCAGCTCCAAAGGACTTCATGCCACGTGTCTTTGTTTTCACTTGTTCTTATGTTTTCTTTTCTTCAAACAACCTGATTTTGTATAATACTAGAAATAGCTTTCTGGCTTTTTCTGGTGCTACATCCTTGATTTGGTTTGTCTGTTGTTTTAGTGTTGGAGTTATCTTTATCTACAACTGAAGTAGTTTTCATATTCCCATTTTCCTGTTTCTCAATTTCACAGATCAAGGTGTCAACATTTACAGAAAACCACCCATCTACAAACAACATGGTAAATGATCTTTCCCTTTTTATTTCAAAAGTGGAGTGTCAACTACATTAAAAGGCATGCAGACTGGTGAAAAGCGTTCAGTTTTTACTTTGTAAGCATAAAACATTAGTAGTCCAAGCTTGAAACAGCTGTTATTGCATGTCCTGCTGAGTGATTATGTTTTAAAGCATGTTGTTTCATTTGAATCATATGGTTTAAATCTTGGCCACATTGATATTAATGGCAGAATTGCCATTAACTGGGATTTTGCTGTCTCATTAGCATTATGGTGCTTTCCTGTATTTCACATCTTTAGGTTTATATTTCCAGAATATAGATACTGATTATGTTTAAAATTGATTAACGGCAGACAGTTCTCTACAGGGGCTTCATGGAATATCCTTATTTTAAAGAGACAAAGTACAATAATGTATTTCAACAGCCAGGATGGAGATGTTATTATCAGACTGGAATTCCAAATGTACCTGTGGCTTTAAATAAGAATCTTTAATTACTGAGGAAGATACAGGTGGCTTATCACCGACAACTGTACTTTTTTTCCAGGTATTTGGATTTTGAGTTGGACAGCAGTGTTAGTGCTCTAATCTTTTTGGTGTAGATGTTGTTATAGCAAGTCTCAGATAACAGTGATGGCAGAAGCCCACGGCCATGCCAGTCTTTAGTACTGCAGAGCAAGGTCCTGCCCTTCTGCTGCAAAGAGGAAGCTTTGAGTAGGAGTTTATGTAATGTGGTGAAAGACAAATTGCTCCACTTTTTAAAGACGTGGGATTTGCATCCCTTTGCAGACCATTTATCCAATTAAATGCATTTCGGGTTATGTAGCAAATTAACAGTACCACAGAGTTTAGGTAAACAGTGGGCTGAGAGCCCTGGAGCTGGGGTGATTAGGAAAAGCCAGGATGTCCATTCTATAGTCGAGAGCGAGCATTGCAAGTAACACTGCTGTGGTATTACATTGGTGGTTTTATTTTTTTTTCTTTTTCTTCTTTTAAGTTTCAAACCATATGCTCATTTTGGAAAAAGTCTTAACATTATTTTTGTTTATTTTTATGGTTTTAATATATCTCCTCACCTCCCATTAACATGTGAATGTTTAACCACTGACATCACCAATTCTAATACGTAAGTACTGTTTGAAGTCATGCTTTTGTAAACTCTGACCCGCTTCCACCATACATGCAATTATGCTTAGAGTTTCCCAATCATAAAATGCTCAAAATTCCCAATGATATCTAATGCTGATGTTCTTAAACTACCGTGAACATCTTGGAAGAGCAACACAGTGCTTCACTCCATTAATAGATGTCTTTCTGTTTTAAAAAAAAAAAGGGAAAAGGGGAAAAAAGTCCAGTATAAATATATATACAATAGCTATAAAATAGCTTCATATAAGAGAAGGTGATTGGAGATAACAGTTTGCAGATAAGATGTAGTTAAGGCTAGCTTTAATGTAAGCTGAATCCTATTGGATTTAGTTTTTTAATATCAAGAAGTGAAAGCCATAATGCAAGCCTTTTATGAGACTTTGGCTTAGACTGAATCTTAAGTGGATGCTGAGATACTATGTTGGTGAAGTTCATTCCACTGCAAGTGCATTTCCCTGCCAAATTGATCTGAATGAATTTTAGTATTTATTAATGAATTCACACCTGCTTTTACTACTACTGCATGCTAATAAGTAAGGGCATGCAGCAGAAAAAAAAATCCACTGGTCAAACAAATGTATTTGTTTCAGGTTTATTCTTCTTTGTTTTGCAGCTTTTCACAAAAATATAGGAAATAATTAGCATCAGTAGAGTTAAAATTAATGCTGTGCCTCTGAGCTATTTGTTGCCTTGTGCTTGAGGGAAAACAGATCAATACATAAATCTGTTTACATCTTCATTAACAATCAGCTCTCCTTAGAAGATAATGGCAAATACTGTGGGTTTAATTTTCTTACTCTTGCCTAATCATTCTAACACTGTGAAACCCTAGTAAAATCCAAAGCTGATTTGGGGTTATTTTGGGTGTGGGGGTGAGGGAGGGAAGAGGAAGATTTGATTCCAATCTATCAGCAAGAGAAAGACATTACTTTGCTTCAGATTTCAATTAGAAAAGCAAAACATGAAAATGGTTACTTTTGAAAATTCTCTTCTTGTGAAGTATAAAATTTTGCTAAAATAAAGGAAGACCTTTATATTGATGTAGATGATTACGTAGCTAAGTTCCCTGATTGCCATCTAGATGCAGCTGCCTTGGCAGCACAGAGCAAGTCCTCCGAGGATATCATCAAGTCCTCCAAGTTCCCAGCAGCTCATGCACCAGCACCCAACGAGATACCAAAGATTGAGACGGACCACTGGCCAGGTCCTCCCTCCCTTGCGGCCGTAGGTACGCGAAAAAACAGTTGATACAAATGATGTGGCTTAAAACGTACAGGTAACCAAAGCAGATTAATACTGGACCTGTGAAAATATGTAGTGAAGATTGTGTCCACTCCAGGTGTTCACCATGAAGTGTGGTTCTTCTGGTAAGACATCTGGGTGTCTGTAAATTTAAAGCTATTAAATAGTACTGAGTAGAAGAGGTTTTGCTAAATGACTTTGGAATTGATCGCACAGATATTAACTCATAGAAAAATTATGTGAACTCCTATGCAGTAACTTAAATAATATCACACAAGCCTGACTTCTTTCAGTTATTGTCTATTTAATCTTTTAGTCCTGAGCTAATAGCAAATGTTCCACTGAAAATATGATTGATTCCAACCACATGACTCATTTCATGGCAAGAAGCAATGGCTGAAGTGGAACAATTAACAGACTGAAAAAGTCCTTCATTTTCAGAGCTGCTGTTTCTACAGACTTTGTATTTTTCTTCTGTGTTGTAGCCCTAAAGGTATCTTATTTTATTTTCTTTAAATCACGTGCATCATCATTTTCAAATTTTTTTGTTTTCTATTTTTGTTGATCCCTGTAGCATAAAATACCTATCCTGATTCATTTATGAAGTCGTGTCTGAAATACTGAAGGTGTTGCCTGTTTCAGGTTTCTGTGAAGGAGTGTTTTTCTGAAGGTGATATTTTGCTTACAGGGCTAAATGAGATCAGCTGTCAAAAAAAATTAAGTATTACTGCTCTGGTACTGAAAAGTCTTGCAAAAACTGGAGACAACAAGCAAAAATTAAATAATTAAATACAAAAAAAATAATTTCTCTGTAACTTTTTGTCTTTCTTAATATTAGTATCAATTTAACATTACTGTACTGTACATTTAATTGATATAAACCTTCTGATACTTCAGTTTCGTTCAAATAAAACACTGAGTTTGTCTAGCATAGGGTTGGTGAACAACTATATTGAGATATAGCTTGTGCAGGAAAAAATACAACTGCTGTCTAAATGCAGCAATATCATATTCTGTGTATTCACGCAAGTGTCCTGGTGTCCAAATTAGACTATTTCTTAGTAGTCTATATTTTTCTTTTTCAAGAAAAAAAAAGATTATTCAGTAAAAAGAAACTAAAATGTCCAACACTTGTCTTCATTAGTTTTAGCTTTATCCAATGAATCAAGTCAGTTTGCTTTATTTCAGACTAAAAATAATGCCTTCCTTGAGTGTCCATTTAGGAGATTAATGTAGTTTAATTTTCTATTTGAACTGTTAATTCAGATTTGCTTTTCTGAGTCTAGATGAAAGTATAAATGTAAATCAGACTTTACGTTTTCAGCCACGGACACAGTTCCTTCTGCCATTAAACCTCATGTTTCTGGAATGAACAATCTGAGCTCCTTTTTTCTATTACGTTGATTCATGGCTTTTGTGTCCAGGGCTGTTTGTTGCTTTGGAACTCATGTGCAGTTTAACTTCTTGTTAATTGTATAAGAAGCCTGATGGCCATAGGGCAAGCTATCGAAGTGAATTTTATTAAGAGTGAGTTTTGAAAAAGTCTTGAGTCTGCAAGAAAATACTGCTTTGTTTATTAAGTAAATCAAACTGACCAGTACTTTGAACTGGCACTGAAATCTTCAAGCTGCGGTTGGACTGATATACAGAGCTCTCTGTGTGCTGTGGTTTTGTGGAAGCAGGAGCTGACATGAGACGCAGATCAAGTGGAAGAGAGGAAGATGACGAGGAGCTACAGAGACGCCGGCAGCTGCAGGAGGAACAGCTCATGAAGGTGGTTATAAGCTTGTTTTCATTCTTTTTCTGTCCAAAACCTGCCCCTTTGTTTTATGTAAGCAATTTCTGCTAATGCCTTGATCAGCTTTCTTTTTCTGATGTTTTTTGTTTATAATTGTCGTTTGTAGCTCAACTCTGGTCTGGGACAATTGATATTGAAAGAAGAGATGGAGAAGGAGAGTCGCGATAGGTCAGCCCTTTCGGCCAGTCGTTATGATTCTCCAGGTAATTCCTGTAGGCATGTAAAGCTAATAATGAACAGTGAATAATGAACACAACATACACGTATACCAAACGATCTTCCAAAAGAGAGACCACTGGGAAGACCACTTGACATGTGTGTGTGCAGTAAAGAGTGGCCTAATTCGCTAGCTGGTTTTGGTGAGAGGAGGAGTGTTGCAGTTGGTTTTTTGATTAGAAGAAATACGAGGTTGAGGATTTTCAGGCAATTCTGAGGAGAAGGATTTTCTAAAATAGATAAGGAGTGAGGTAAAATATTCAATGACTGTCACATCACACCTGCTAACAGGCTGTGTTATTTAATTACAGTAACATGTTTTGCTTGAACTGGTAGTTCCTGTCACGGTTTAGTCTCTCCTCCCAGGGAAAGAAAATCAGCGAGATTTACTAGTGGGGCTGCACATTCCAAACACAGCGAGTGTTTTGGCCTTGCCTTGACATTTTGATTCGGTGTGTTTGGGGAGCAAAAGCACAGCAGCCAACTTCGGTCAACTGGTGGCTAAGATTCTTGGCCTCTTTGTGCATTTTGATAGTACATCTGTGGCCTTCTCAGATCTCCAGAGAAGGATTTGAGGGTTTTATTTCAGTCTCTTCATCCGCTGATCATTCTAACGTAGCAGCTGTGCTTCGAGCCAAGAAGGGGCAAGATGAGTCTCTTTGGAGTTATCTGCTGGAAGTAGCTGCCAAGCAAACTAAGATTTCCTTATGTTCCCTGTTGTATAAGTATGTTGCCTCTATTTATGGTCTTAATGTTGAAGTCAGTATCAAAACATTTGTTTTACGGTATTGCAGGACCAAAACTAATGGCCTTTTCTCCTTTGTAGCAAAAAATGACAAGCTGAATAGTGAATACAGAGAGAATGGAGTGTGCTCATCATATGTATCCTGGCTTGGGCAGCAGCAGAAGCTGGGAGCATGAGTGCAATAATACTTGCAGTAGGAAGGATAGAAAGGAAATTCATGAAAAGTTCAGAGGGTATAATGATAAATAATCAGTGTGTGTGCTACTACAGAGAGTGGAATTGAATGGACCTGCATGGAAGACTAAACAGGGAACCTGTCCAGTCAAATACTGTGGATCTTGGGCTCTCCTTGCCCTTTATCTTGGTCTCATCATAAGATGCACAGCAAGACTTTAACTAAGAACAAAAAAGTTGTTTTGCTCTGTTGTCTGATACCTGAGCATTACTTTCAACTCAGCAGAGACCACTTGGATTTCGAGCCTGACAAAATCACAGTGTCCCTTCCTCATGGCCTCCCCCCATGGCACGATAAAGCTGCATGTAATGTAACAGAATGTAGGGAAGGTTGTGTTGAGTTTAATCATTGAATCATAGAATGGCCTGGGCTGGAAGGGACCTTAGAGATCATTTAATCCAACCTCCCTGTCATGGGCCTCTCAAGTTTGGGGCTGAAATCTTTGTTTCTTAAAGCCGCTGTGTGTCTCAGTTGGTTATGTATGTTCTTAGCTCTTTTAGCTGTGTTTTTTACGCTGCTTGATTCCTCAAATGTTCTTCTGACTTTCTGTGGGATTTTTTCCAGTAAAAGATTTTTCCCTTCCTCTTTCAACAGCACATGCTTCAGCCTCCAAAACCTCTTCTCTCCCTGGTTATGGAAAAAATGGACTTCACAGGGTAAGGAGATGGTGATTTCGAGAAGTGAAAGGTGACTTTAATTATCCATGGTATTTAATTTCACAATAGTTGCATTGGATTTTCAGTTTGATCAAGGTTTCTTAAGACTATCTGAAGTCAGACATGACCTAATTTCCCTTCCCCCAAACTACATTGTTATAAAAGAAAGCCAGCAATGCAAAAAGCATTGTGAAAATTAAGGGAAGAAATAAAAGACTTAAAGCAGTTTATTTGTCCCCATATACCAACCTGCTTGTCAAATCATGAACAGTGAATTTATGTGCATGTCCCTCTTCTCCCGTTACAGCCGGTATCTACAGATTTCGGTCAGTACAACAGTTATGGGGATGTGAGTGGTGGTGTTAGAGGTAAGACTGAGGAGCCTTTTTACATGCCACTTCATCACTGAACATGTTACAATGTTTGATCATTTCTACTGTTTCATTTTAAGGTTATGGATGTGATTGTTTTGTATTTGCTCTACATTTTAAATTACTGTCGTAAACTTAACAATTAACTCGAACTCTGGAAATAACCTATTAAAAAGTTTGGGTTTATTTTGCAAAATCCACTATATGGAGCTGATGTTTGTTTATGGCAAGGGACTGCTTTAGCATTGGTGCAAATGGAAAGCAGCTAATGTGTATATTATGAGGAATATGTACTGAGTTCTGTCCTGAGTTGTTTTCTTTCTCTGAAAATTGCTATCCACTGCCCAGTCTGAAAGAATGGGCCACAGTGAAAGGAGGAGGATAACGCCTTCTAATCCTCATTGCTGCTTATGATTTTTGTTCTGACTTTGAGCTAGATCTGATGTCGGTCATTGCCTAATGAAAATTTAAATTAATATTTGTAAAAGTTGTGAAACTTTGAGAGTTAATGTTCTGAAATAGTTTGAGGTGAGAGAGAGAGGTGGCTAGTTATCTCCTGAGTGAGATTGATCTGAACTGCCTTAGATACCCTGCGATCAGGCATCTTCCATTGGTGCTTGTGTCTTTTTACAGACTGGTGTTGAGTCATAGGCTGGACTTGATAATCTCAGAGGTCTTTTCCAGCCTCAACAATTCTGTGATTCTGTGAAATCTAGACAGCTACCTTTTGGCAGAGGTTAAGTGAGGTGAATCCTGCTCTAAACATTTGAATTACAGTTGGGTGTTTATTCACGTGATTGTGGTTCTGTGTCTCTTAATATTTCCAAAGTAACTTGATTTTCCTGTATGAGAAAGCTGCTTGAAATAAAAGTATCTGGAGCGTTTGACTCTACAAACTGAGTCCAAAAGCAGCAAGATTGCTGGTCTTAGAGAATTGGGATTTTGAAAAAGTCACGTAGACCAGAAGGCACAAGGATTATCTGGTAGATTGTGACTGATTCCTGTTCTTCCACACTCAAAATCTGATGAGATTTCTCTTTTGCTTTTCAGATTTCCAGGTAGAGTACGGGTTTTCATCAATCAACTGACAACAGAACTAAAAGCATCTACTTTCTTGTTGAAGTCTGAATTTTGCTACAGGGAAGGGTTTCTTAAGAAAATAGCTTTGATTTTCCTGCATGTTTAAGCATAATCACTAATGTAGATTCTTATCAATGAAAACCAGGCACAGCCTCAGATTCCTCCCTGTTACCTCCTCCGAGCTGGGTTGAGACAGCTCACACCAGTTCTGTGACTTGCTCTGTAAAACCAGTCTGTTCATATATGAGTTGTCTGTAACAGTCCTCTCTGGACAGCTGAGGGTGGATTTATTTCCAGCCTCTCTAGTACTGACCTCAGAGACCTATACAAAGTCTCTTCTGGAGGCAATTTTCTCCCATGGCAGGAGCCTTGAACTCCTCATTTTTACCCTGGAATTTACTCTCCAGACGAGATGGCTGTTCCATAGTTTTCTACAGTGCTGCCATCACATATGAGCCAATAAGAGGTGTGCTTGCAAATATAAACCCTTTTACTCCAAATCCTGTCTGCAGGGGTTTTTCCAGAATGGTTTGAGTCTGGCTGACTCCTCAGCACAATCGCAATATGAAATGACAATTTCAGAAAGGATTTGATTACTTTGATAATTTTGTTAACGGTGTATCAAAATCATGATGATTGGAAAGAGCATAAATTATTGAAGGAGAGAGGAATTGTCCATGTGTTGTGCTCAAAACGTTTCATTAGGAACAGTACCTGTGTCAAAACAGCACCTTTTTGCACTCTCCGTTTGTGTTCATAGTAAAAAATTCCCATTGTAGAGACCAAAAAAAAAACCCCTCAGCTGACGCAGTAAGTGGCAAAAGGGAAGAGGTGTAGGAGTAATGTACACTCTTGGGTGGGATCTTAATTAATGCTTCTGCGTATTTGTCCAGAGAAGAACTCTACCTAGTCACTGGGGTGGGAAAGGGCCCACCACCCTCTTGGGGCCCCACGTCCACCTGGGACGTGATATTGGGAGCAGTCACCAGCCTGGGCAGGGACAGGAGGCTGTGGTGGCAGAGAGAATCGAAGGATCCCTCTGCATGCCTCAGAGAACTAGGGAACAGTAGCCAGGGAATGATGATGTGTATGATAAGACTAAATGCTAAGACTTGAAGGGAGTCTCAGGGCAGATTCACCTTTGTTTTCACCGCTACTTGAGTGCCTTTACCCTCTGTGTGTGTAACCTGTGTGTCTGATGTATACCTGTATCTGATGCAGTCCCTTCCGGATGGTCATGTCCCTGGAATGAGAATGGACAGAGGAGTATCTATGCCTAACATGTTGGAGCCAAAGGCAAGTGCAGACGTTATTCACTTTCCTTCAAGACAGTGAAGATTTGACTGTGAAATGCAGATAAAATATGGGAAATGTCTTAGTTCCCTTGTTTTTCTTTACCTCACCTCAGACCCTGCTCCTTATGTGCCAAACCTCTCCCGTTGTTGTAGACTTTGCCTGTTACTGATGTTAGTCCTCTGTCAGGCTGAAGGTAGCCCAGGGCTGCTTCTTGGGTTAAGGAGGCTTCTGTAGAGACAAAATGAAGATACTGAAGATGCTTAGTAGCTGGTTACTAGCCTAAACAGCACACCAAACTTGTTGGGAAAGTTGCAGATCCGTCAGGTTAGAAAAGTGATGCATAATACTGTGGCTCACAACGCACTTTTGAGGCTATCTTAGTTTAAAAATTAATGAAATACATGGATCTTTGTTTCAAATTGGAAGGTAGATACCTACAAATCTGTCTGGACCTGTTTTATAGCTCCCAGCACTGCTAGCCTGGCACATTTCAGTGTTGAATTCCCTATATAAGAAATTCTTCAGGAGATTAATTGGAAAAAGAGGCGACGTCAGCTATGTCTAGAGATGGCTGAGTTAAACATGAACGTTTATATAGAGGGGGTTTAACCAGTGCTGTGGTTTAAGTCTTAAAACTTACTCTATTGCTGGGGAACCTTCCAAGAAATCATGATTTTGCCAAAGTTACAAGGATCGGCATTTCTGCAGTTAAGTGAGGAGCTCGTTTTGCAAACCGATTACTACTTGTGCTTCCGAGTCACCTCCAGACAAACTGTACAAGGCAATAACCCTAGCTTTATAAGCTGAGGCACCTGTGCAATGTATATTAACAAATGGTTTTATATATTATATAAATAACACCTTGGGGACATCCCCAACTTCTGAGGTTCTACGTTTTATTCCAAATAATTTCTCTTTCAGTGCAATAGAAATTCTTACAGACACCACTGCTGTTGATACACTCAGAGATTTGGAATGTTAGTTTGGGTGACAAATTCTGTCAGTATTACTAGTGATAAAGTTTATGGGAATTTTATGAGATAATAGATCACTTTCTGTTGATGTTTATAAAGGTGATCCCAGACCCTCGGCCTGTGTGAATTGGCACTATTTTTATTCGTGTCAATGGTCCAGCACTAACTTAGCCTGATAAAGTAAAAGAAGACAAATCAAAGTCAGTGTGAAGCATGTGAAAATTAGCAAACTTGAGAATGACCAAATCTTACCAAATGGTTTTCCAGAAAGGACAGAATTTGTGCATCCTGCCACCCCAGATTGAGACATGCCTTGTTGTGAATATCTAAATATAAACTGTACTTATGACCATAGATCTTGACATAAACTCTGCCTGTTTTAATATGAAAAGTTACAATTTAGTTTCCTATAATGCTGTATATGGTAGCCGTTTCCAGTATCAAACATAAACAATGTAATTTAAAGTATATACTTAATTGTACAATTGTGACAATGTCAGAATCTCCTAAGAATCATCTTACAATTGGTATGTAAGCACACATTATTTAAATTATTACTACCTACAATAAACTCAGTGGTGTGTTCATTGATGCCTGAATCTTATTTATTATATTTCTGAAAAGTTCATTGGGATAATTGTTGACAATGGAAGTCAATGGAACTTAATTACCTAGTGCTGCACAAAAGTTGATTAGATTGAATTTCTTCTAATGTTAAGATAATTGAATTAATAGCATTTGATAGTACCTCAGCTATCTCTCCAGGAGAGTTTTGGTGGTCTCAGTCTTGTTCCCAGTGGGCAAGTAAAACAAGTCCCTACATAACAGTACAGGCTGAGCCAATGGCCACCGAAGTCAGCAGAAAATCTTCCTTGACTTCAGTAGGGGTTGGGTGGGGACCTGGGGATGCTGTTTCCCTACTCGGCAGAGACATGCAGTGAGAAGGGCTACAGAGGGTCTCTGTCAGATGGAACGTGACCTCTCCTAGGTCATTCCAGGCACTGATGGAAGTGTCTGCCAAACGAAAAAAATCCTAAACCAGAATTTTATTTGCCAGGGATGATTCCAGAAACTGATTTTAAGGCACTTGGTTTTCTGAAATCCTTTCTAAGCAGCATTGTTTCCATTGGATTAGACTGATTTGAGACCCACTGACAGTAAACATTTTACTTCAGACAAAGAACCTGTACACATAAAATAAGATTATTTGTTCATTCAGGAATTGATTGCTAGCTAATAACTGAAATGTGTAAGTTCTGGACATTCTTTGCAGTAGAAAAGCAAATCAAGGGAAATGTTAATGAGATATGAGCTGGACACATACGCTTCTGAAGCAGGTGAAGGTGCATAGGACAAATATGTCTACAAAATTATCTGCTTTAATCCATGTACGTACGACACAGCCAGCAAGCACAGTGGGTAGTTGTTTGAATTCTTTAACTATCCGACAAAGCAAAGAAAATTGTATGATGGATTCTATTGAGTGCAATGCCCCCTCGAATGTATATCATGCTTATTTGGAGTTGCTGATTTTTAATGTACTTTCATCTGTTTCATCTTTTAAAAGTCCACCAATTGTCTGCTTCCTTTGAGCTGTCTCCGCTTTGGCAGCCATCAGTTAAACCAATGAGTAACAAACACATTTACTTTAATAAACTTTGATGGATAAGAAACTATAATGACGAGAGAGAACTCTGCTGCTGATTATAAGCACCATAAAAATGGGCAAGTGGAGTGGGCAAGTACATAGTGGCTTTCCTGCAACTTTAGGAATAAAAAGGAAAGAAAAAAGAGCTGTGATTTCCTCTGAAAAAATAAAATAACTATTTGTGTGGTTATGAAAATGAGACATATTGTGTTCTTTCTGCTTTGCAATATAAATGCATCTCTTTTTCCCCCTTTTATACATTGTTAACAGATTTTTCCATATGAAATGCTCATGGTGACCAACAGAGGGCGAAATAAAATACTAAAAGATGTAGACAGAACCAGGCTTGAGGTAAGAGAAGCAAGTTCCTAAATTCCTGCTGAAGTTGTTTGTTGTTGCACACATGAAGGCTCAAGCACTGAAGTGGGGGCACCTTTTGGGCTGGGTGGATTTCTCAGCACTGAGCGGGCAGTCAGGCAGGGAGGAAGCAAACACATCTCCATGAACAGCCCTGGGCCAGGAGCCCCTCATCTCTTGTGTCCCTGCTCATGGACTGAGCTTCTCACAACCCTGTTATGTTTTCAAGCAATTCATTTTATACTTGTAAATTAGTAAAAAGCCCAAAACTGGTGAACTGTTTTATAGTTGTAAGATCCACATGGAAATGGAGCAATACTTTGTTTGATCTTGGATCATCTCTTAGCTAAGAGTCACCCTTGAGGGCCGAAAGCCTAACTTTCTTTTACTTATTCATGACTTCTGTGAGTGAGTTAGACTGGCTGATATCCAAAAGTATGAGGGTTTAAATCTCTGCCAACAAATAAAAATTGTTTACAACTTTGTGGATTAGGAAGACTTAAGCAGCCCAGACGAAGGCTGGGGATGCTTAAGCCATTTATAGTTAGTTAATCTTCTGTAGAGATGAATGGAAGGGGCCACAAAAATTTGGATAAGTAACCATTTGTGCACGTTTTTAGACTAGTAGATATATGATAACTAATCAGAATTCAATGCTGTGTTCCATTAGTGCCACAGGGAGAGGCTTTCCTCCTCCAGTGCACTCTAAAGTGGCAGAATAAGAAGTAATTTGTGCATAAGAAAGCACCAAAAAGTGTTTCATTAGGAGTAGAGAAATGTGCTGGACAGTCAGTCTGGCCAGGCATCTTCCTTCTCAGAACAGCAAATGTGGCATGTCAGCCTGCAGCCCTTCTGCAAAGCTTTCCTGAAACCCACTCTCTGTCTGAACTTCCATATGCAAGCAGAGGTGACCAGCTAAAGCCTGGGACAGGGGTGTGCAGGAGCTGGTTTTGTTCTCTAGTCTATCACTGCTCATGGGGCAACTTCAGCCAAATTACTTTTCTGTCCCTTGCTTATTCAGCAGCTGAAATAGTTCTCCTGATTTCCTTTGTAAACTTGTTAGACTTAATGAATTGTGAAATTGTATTGATTCTTTGTGCACCCGAGTTCATGAGGACTTGGATATATGTATTGCCAAAGCGTTATTAATTCCTGCAGTGGCTCTTGCACTGTGACATGAAATCCCTAAGGCCCTCCTATTGCCTGTTGTGTCTCTTTGGCTTTGACTGACCATTGGCTTTTCTCCTCTTTTTTTTTTTTTTCTTTTCTTTTTTTAAAGCGTCACTTAGCACCTGAAGTTTTTCAAGATATATTTGGCATGACGATACAGGAGTTTGACAAGTTACCTCTCTGGAGACGCAACGACATGAAGAAAAAAGCAAAACTCTTTTAATCTCCCTTTAAACAAACCAACAAAAAATGATGCATAGGATATTGTATCATACAGTCCAAACTATTTGGAAGCAAATACTTATCCACCAAAAAGGGAAAAATCACACTGTGGCACCTCTGCACACAGCAAATGAACAAGATGAACGTTTGCCCTCCTGGAACATAGGGAGAAAATATCTGGTCTCAGAAACAACAATTATAGTTTTCAGAGGTGTCGACTTGTTAAATGATATTATACAAGATAGGAAACTGTTCGGTTCTTCTCCCTCAATGATATTCCCTTTGCTTCTCTCCACAATTTGATGGACTTTATCGCTAGAGCCAGGAAGTGCCCTTAGGATGCCTTGTAGACTAAAGTTGTAACCACTCCAAGAACTGGAAAAGAATATATATATATTTATATATA